GGTAGTTCGTCTGCAGGGTGGAGGTCCCACAGGTACCAGACAACAGTCTCACAGCGAAAGCAACAACGGCAATACAAACAACCACAGTAACGATAACGGCGATGACAACCACGGACTGCTGCTGGTGACGGCGCGGTGCTTGGAGGACGAGCCTGTGGTGGTGGGGCAAACGCTGCTGCTTGTGTCGGAGCCGGGAACGCTGCGTTGTCTCGCCATCCGCCCACCCCGGCAGGCACCCGGGCCGTTTAGGCTCTATGTCGAGAAGGGCGAGGCGGAAATTCAGGCGAGTTGGCCTGCAAAGGGGAAGATGCACCCCGGCGGGGAACCGCCTCAAAGTCGTCCCTCACAAATAAGCGAGTAACGAAGCGAACACACATAAACAAAAACTCCACCCTCCACGAATACAAAGGACTGAAGAAGAGCGGAAATGCAAGGAAACTGAAAAATAGGGAGGCAAGGGAAGGAGATATATATATATGGAGAGAGAGAGAGATAGCTGCGATTGTGTGGGGTGTCATCTGCTCTAGTTGTCGCGTCAATTATTTGTTTTTTTTTTTTTATGTAGTTGCTCTTTTTTCATCAAGTCTACACACATAGACGGTGAGAGAGAAGAGAAGAAGAAAGAAAAGGGGTCAGTTTGGGCGTGCCCGGTGTTGGCATTTTGTGTTTTATCGTCAGTTTCTTTGTTGGTTTACTTTCAGGTCAGACACACGTTGTGAAACCAGCACGGGAGTAGCAGAGGAAAGGAATCTAGCAAAAAAAAATATAGTTAGCAATGCACCAAGACTACGATTATTACACTGCTCAGGATTACTTGAGGCCACCGTACATGCGCTATGGGCCATTCGAGATTTTAACGTTTTTTATGAGCTGCGCCGTTGGGGTGGCCATACTGTTTAGTTGCTCATGCGCCGTTGGCTACCTTGCTGAACTGGCGGAGGAATTTCCAACGCGTGCGAAGAAAATTCTTCACGCTATGGCAATTGGCGTTTTATCGGTGCATGTGCTCATCCTTGTCATAGACCAACTTAGTTTTTGGCGTTCCCTTGTGAGCATCATAACAAATGTTTTGTACCTGCGGCTTCTAACAGGTTTCCCACGCTGCTCGCTGACGCACCCACTGACGCTTCTGACGATCGCCTCGTTAGTGGTGGAGGTGGTCTCGTGGTATACGCTTTTGGTCTTTACCCCCAGCTTGTTAGAGACTGTGGGGTCCTACAAGATCGTCTCCTTCATCTTTTTTCTGTGGCTGATGCCGCTGGGATTTCTCGTATCCCTGGAGGTGGAGCCGGTAGAACTCCCCAGCAGCAGCTTCAGCGCATCGTCGCTGCGCCACACCGACATTGCTGCAAGTGGGCGGAAGAGGATGATGTTTGGGATGGTGCGGGAGTGGTTTGCGCTGGCGACGGATTAGTGGCGGAGGAGGGGGGTGGGGTGCGTGTAGACTCCAGGCGGATAACCGGGGCCGCTGTGGAAGAACGACATACAAGAAAAAAAGAAAGAAACCGGAAGTGAACAAGTGGGGAGGGAGAAAAGGGGTTGGAGAAGTAGAAAACAAGGCGAACAGGGAGTGGAGGGGTAGAGCGGTGGCGGCATTGATGGACATCTCAACGGAGGCCTTCTGTTTATCCGCCACTTGCTTTTTTGTCTTTCTCTCCCTCTTTATCTCTCTCTCTCTCTCTGTGCTTTGTTTATTTGTTTGTCCCCTGTTCAGTCGTTCCGAGCACTCGTTTTTAATTTTTTTAATTTCCCGCCGTTCTTTTTTTTTTTTTTTACCGCATGCATTGCGGGTTACGTTTGCACCGCAAAACGGCACACACACGAACACTGTCAGCAAAAGAATCAAAACTCAAATGTCTTTTCAGGCGCGGTGTTTGACAATTCAGCGGGTGTCGAATCCCCCGCCGCTACCACCACTTAAGGGTATCAAATTCGGCAGTCTCTTTACCCCGCATATGGTGAAAATTGAATGGCAGTCTTCGACAGGGTGGAGTAACCCACGTATTGTTCCCTTTGAGAACCTTTCGTTGCCTCCTCAGACGGCATGTCTCCACTACGCGCTAGAGTGCTTCGAGGGACTCAAAGCGTATCGTGATGCCTCCGCAAAAATTCGTCTTTTTCGCCCCGAGCGCAATTGTGCGCGTATGCTGGATAGCGTAACTCGTCTCTGCTTCCCCAAGTTCGACCCTAATGAACTGCTGAAGGTCGTGGAGGAGTACGTCAAGGTGGAAAAGGACTACGTGCCCATCGAACGGGGGTACTCCCTCTATTTGCGGCCGGCTGCCATTGCTCTTGGCGACACTCTTTCCGTCAAGCCTGCGGATAAGATTTTGCTGTTTGTGATTGCATCTCCGGTTGGGCCTTACTATGCCTCAGGTATGAAACCAGTGAAGCTGCTTGTGGAGGAATCACGGAGGCGCTCGTGGCCTGGCGGTACGGGTGGTGTTAAAATTGGAGCCAACTATGCAAGCACTGTACTTGTACAGAATGAGGCTGAAGAGTCCGGCTACCAACAGGTGCTGTGGCTTAGTTCCAGCGGTGAGGTGCAGGAAGTTGGTGCCATGAACTTCCTCGTTCTCTGGAGGCCCTCCAACACGAAGCCAGACTTGGAGCTTATTACCGCCCCACTGGACGGCACAGTCCTTCCAGGCATCACGCGTGACTCCATTCTTTCACTGGCGCGCAAGTCCGGCAAGATGGCCGTGTCCGAGCGGAGTTTTTTTATCGATGAACTCGTCACTGCCCTGAAAGAGGAGCGGGTAGTGGAGTGCTTTGGTTGCGGTACGGCCGCCATCGTCTCTCCCGTAGAGGGGCTGTGTTACAAGGGTGTGAAGTACAACGTGCCGTGCCCGCCGCCCGAGACCTCGCTTACCCACCACATGCTCAACACCATCTTGGACATTCAATACGGCGTGGTAGAGCATGAGTGGTCGCGCGTTATCGCATAGTGAGAAAAAAAAAAACGGAATTTCGAAGAAAAATAAAAGCTAGTCTAAGACGTGAAGAAACGTGAGCCAACTGACATTCCCCACCCCCTAGGAAAAGACGAGGGGGAGGGGGGGGAGGGGGGGCAGAAGGTGGCAAACCCCCAAAAAGAAAAACAACAAAAAACAACATCAACAGGCACACACACGTCACGGTGGACAGGAACTTACTGCAACACCGAAACTGGAGACAACGAGAAGTAAAAAAAAAAAAAACGAATTTCAAAGACGAATCAAAACGGGGGAGTAATATTCGATGCTGCTGCATGGCCGCTACGAGTGAATTTTGACAAGGGGTACATGAGAGACCGCAGTGGATACATCAAAGCTGCTGTGCGGTCAACAATCAAAAATAATAATAATAAAAGAAAAGATAGAGGATAAAAAAACGAGAGGAAAAACGGACGAAAATAACTGGTCGATATACTAAATGAATAGGAAGGGTTTAATGAATTATTATTACACTGTATTTGCGTACGAAGTATGTATGATTTGTACCGCTGTTAGGCTACGAAGGGTAGAGTAATGCTATTTTTTCTTTTGTTTTTTTGGGTGAGGTGGGGTGCGGTGGGGCTGATGTCGGTATGTATATATATATATATATATATACATATATATAGACTTACGCGGATTTGGGATTAAAACATATTAGTGTATAACTTAGCGTGCTTTGCGTCGGATGCTGCGTGGCTTGAATGACTAGATCAACGTCTCTCTTTTACCTTTTGTCTTGTTTCTTCGGTCTGGGTAGTGTGGGGCAAAGGTGTGGAAACCGGTTTTATCGGTTAGCTAGGTTTCTTTTTGGGAAGGTGGGGGACGATGTCCGTGCTGGGAGGGAGGGGGAGGAGCGACGCCAGTCAGGCATGAAATGCTCCCCAACCCAAGCCAGATGATGTGATGAACGCTAATGTTTGCGGCCTGCATCAGCGCTGGCACGGGGTGTCAGTGTACGCTGCCAAACAACAACAACGCTGACGCTCGATGACTTAGGAGAAGACCTTGTGCCGCTGTGCAGACTTCATAGGCTTCGTACAATTTTTCAACAGGGGGAAATATCTCGCATGCTGCAATTCCACGCCTACAATGTCTGTACCAACACCATCACTGGAGAGGCCGAGCCTTCAAACCCCACACAAAGACCCCGAATACCGCGGAATGGCAGGGACACGACCCTCGGCAATGGGTTTGCCCATTCCTGCGTTTGGAGACGCACGCAACGGGACGACTTGGATCCGACAACGCGATCGCAATGTCCCGCTCTGACAATGGATGAATGCGTACTGGTTCCACCAACCCGCCGCAGAAGGCACGGCATGGTGGGAGACCCACTTTATGCAGCATGGCGGCACTGGAGCCAGCTCCATTCACTAGCCAGCCACAGGAGGCGTGACATGGTGGTCCTGCTCCAGTGTTTTTTCATAGCCCACACCCCTGCTGTTTCTTTTTTTTTACGCCAAGGCAGCATCAGCAGTCAACACGGCGCACTCTGGGGGGGGGGGTGTAAACACATCTGCGCAAGAGATGCGAAGACGTCTATAGCACAGTGGAGAACAGCAAGGTATGAGGAACGGGATTCATACCTACCAGAACTATGGGGGAATGAACACACTCAGGCAAGTGGCTATGCCACGGACCTATAAAACGAAATGCTGTTGGCATGCAGTTCAACGTGGCGTTGCCTGGATGGGACACGCTTTAGCTGCTCCAGCCACGACCTTGACTCAAGTTTTTCCATCTTCTTATTTCTTTTCCCGCTGCTTCGAGCCAGAATGAGATTGTTTTACATCCTGGTCCGTTCCGTTCTTGCCTTGACCTCCTCCACTACTTTGGTGTCATCGCCTGAGCGTTGTGTCTGGACCCACAGCAAACCTTATTACCATCATCTTTTTTTTTTTTTTTCTTCTCTTCTCTCATTCAGTACTGTTGCACTGAAGCATTTTCTCTTATTACTATTATTTATTTTGTTCTTGTGCGGGAGCTGCGCTTGAAGTGAACTTTCAACTTCGTTTTTTTCTGTCTTCTTTTTGCCTTAGTACTATCACTGCCGCTATGCGTTTCTGCGGTATCTTTTGCTGTACTTTGTTTCTCTCTTCTGGTTCTCTCCGTTTTCTGCGTGTGCGTGCATGAGTGTGTGTACGTCCGCTTCCCTACACGTCTCTCCGCAACGGTGCGGTTGGGGAAGTGGACGCAGAAAATTGCGTGTTCTTCAAAAGGCGGGGTGCGCGCCCCTTAATAACGCTTCGGCCTGAGCCAGCGGCAGAATCACACAACATAACCTAACAGGGGTTTTTCAAAAAAAAAAAGTGGTGGGGAACAAGAGGGAGTAGAAATAAATACATAAATACATATATAAATCCAGGGGTGGGGATAAGTCTGCGGAAAGTTGCTAAGCAATGCCCCCCGCTCAAACTCACCCAACAGTAACGCTGGGGGGACCTCGTTCCGGCGGGAGTTCAGGTTTTTTGCACAATTTAGTCTTTGGCCCCGGTGGTGCCGCTATCCTTGCAGGGTCGTGTGAAATCGTCATATTTCACCCCTTCGACACAACGGCGAAGCGACTCATGGCGCACCATCACACGGTGTTTGACCCCACGTCCTTGTTGCGAACGTGGCAAAACTTTCTGCGGGTTGTGTTCGAAGGCGTTGATAAATATAAACCTTCCGGGGCGCGCATCACTTTCTTTGATCGCGTGCGACACATGTATCCTGGCAGCACGTACGCGGTGGCGTACAAGGTGATGCAGCGCTTCATCAAATTTGCTGGCCAGCCATACATGCGGGACTTTTTGGAGTACAAATATGGGCACTTTTTCCTTTCGGATGCGCAGCAGCAACCGAGGCTGAATGCCACCCACCACAAGAAGAAACACGGGCTAATGCTGCTGGAGGCCACTGCCGGTTGCTTTGTAGGTGTCTGCGAGGTGGTTCTTCTGCCCATTGATCGGATGAAAGTGTTGAACCAGACCAATAAGGATGCCATTAAAAACCGCTCGTTTTTTACGATCCTTCGTCAAGAAGGAATTGTTAAGATGTACGCTGGCATCGGAACAACCGCGGTACGCAATGCCCCAGGGTCCTTTCTCTTGTTTGGGGGTGCTGCCTGGACCAAGGACTACGTGTTTCACTTGGAGAACTATGGCGACGCGACGCTTATGCAGAACTTTGTAAGTTCCACGGTGGGGAGTTGCCTTGGCGTGTGGTTCACAAGCCCAATGGATGTTGTTAAGACACGCATTCAAAACAAACGGTTTGGGGAGGGTCGTGTGACGGGCTGGAGTGTTGTGCGAGAAACCCTGCAACAAGAGGGGTTTATGGCCTTTTACAAGGGCATCTCACCGAAGCTCATCACCACCGCCCCGCGTCTGGTATTTTCTTACACCATGACACAGTTTTTCATTAAACGTTTTCGTGGGGAGAAGCCCAAGTCATCGTCCGCGTAAGTCACACTACACACTGTAATCAGGAATCAACATTAGTATGAGCCCAACGCGGGTTTGCCAATACAATACATGCATTTGTTTCTTTCTGTTATGCTTCCTTATTGAAGCTTATGGAAGGATTGTGTGGTCTTTTACGGCCACGTAGGTGTGGTGGCGCGTTGTCTGTTTAAATCCACTACTCTATTCTTGTATAACTTCCTTAAAGTGTGTTTAATGTTATCGTATTGGAAGGGAGCGAGTGCAGCTTTTTTTTTTTTTATCCCCTTCGCTACTGCTGCCCTCCACGTGGAGGAAATGCTGATGGCTGCGGTGCCCGACTGGGCTGTCACTTTGTGAGTTCGCAAGGAGCCATGTTTTCACCAATAGCGCATGTCTTTTGAATATGTTTGCGTGTTGGTGGGCGTGAGTGTGTAGGACGCCTCGCGTTTTTGGGCTAAGGGATGCTGGGCGCATGCCCAAGCAAGCCGTCATTCCCCTTTTTGTTTATCCTTCCCGTCTCGTCGGAGTAGGAGGGAGGTGACAGCAGCCAGACGCAGTATTCTTGTCCCTCTTTTTTTGGTGATTGTTGGAGGTTGCAGTGGCGGAGGCGGCGGGGAGTGCGGGTAGAGCAGTTGTGTTTGTAGGGAAGCCGCGGAGGGGAGGAGACATGGAACGGGGACGGCGAGGAGGATGGCGGTTCGATTCAAATGGGGCGCTGGGTTACCCCCGAGATGAGACAAAAAAGAATATATATATATATATATATATAAACACAGGCATAAACTAAAATTAACTTGGGGAAGCTGCGTAAGACGGGAACAAGTGAAGAAAAAATAAAATAAAACGAGCCACAAATCTCTTTTGTTGTTGCTACCACCGAGAAGCTTTCGGTGTACCGATTGGGCTTTTCTTCTGCATGGGTTTCACTTATGCAGCGTATGCGTATGCGTGCGCGTCTGTGTACGCAGTGTCCCTCCGTTGTGCGTGTGTGTTTTACGTTGCCCTCGCCTTTATGATGTGCCCGGACGGATTTGCTACGCATGTGTTGTGTTGTATTGTGTTGTGTGACACCTCTTTGGCTGTTGTGTGCGTCAACACTGAAAAGTTGCGTGTTGGCTGGCGGCGGTGTTGACATCATTTCTCTTTTCTCCCACTGACTTGTGTGTGTGTGGACTGCTGCTGCTGCTGGGTAGGCGCGGAAGTCATGCCTTCGCGGAGGGCGGATTTGTCATCCGCATCGGCGCCTGTGGAGCGTCACTCCACGCTGCGCATCCGCAACCCGGCCTCTGGTGTCGTGTACCATCTCGTCTTCGAGGGCAACCTGCGCAAGCTGACAGGGGGCGCAGCTGCGGCTGCACCTCGAGGGTATCTGCCTCATCCCGGCTGAGCAGCAACAGCTGACGTTTGACGGCGTTCCCGTCGAGAACAGAAGCACCGGGGCCTCGCTGGGACTGCACGACAGGGCACTGCTGGAGCTCCACACCGCGGGGGCCGCGCGTCAGGTTCCACCCTTGCGGAGTGGCGGTCATAGTGACATACGCCGCGGGGAGAGGTACGCACATCCTGCAGAGGAGCACTTGAATCACAGCGAGCGTAGTGAGCAGCCGCGTAGCCTGAATAAGTTGACGACAACCGTGTTGCAGCAGACGCCAACGCCACGCGCCATGCGGAGTAAAATAGAATATGTGAATGATGATGTGCGTCATTCACGGCAGAGTTATGCGTACGACGGGAATGACTATGGTGGGCCACGTCCGGCCAAGGGCGTGCATTCCGCGGAACTGTTTGAGAGGGTTCTACCAGCGAACGCTTTGGAACCGATGGCTATTGACATTGAGGAGGACGCTATCGATAGCCTGAGCGTCGCGATGAAGCCGCTGCATACTGCCGACCTTGAGTATATGCGTCTGGAGCAGAGGGAGTATGTTTGGATGATGGAGCAGATGCGGTTTGAAACGGAGCGGATGAATCGTGAGCGGGAGCTCCTGCGACAACGACAAGAGCTAGAGCACGAGGCGGAGGTTCTGGAACGCGAGCAATGCATTCTGGGGCGACGCACGCTACAGGAACGACGTAAACTCGCGGAGTTGCAGCAGTGGGTGCGTGAGGAGTTGGAGATGGAGGCGCGCCTTCTTAACATACGCGACGGTGGCCACAACTACAGCAGCCGTGACAATTACTACGATGCAAGCATTGATTTGGTAGATCAAGAGGGCCCGCAGAGATAGCACTGCTCTCACAATCTCACTTCTCCTTTACGAGCGGCCGCCTGCCTTACATATATACATATATATATATATATATATGCACTTATGTATATATGCATCTTTCTTTCTTTCTTTGTTCCTGCTGTCGCTGTACGATTTTTGTTTTTGTTTTTGTTTTACTGTTTTCAATTCCTGATAAAAACAAAACAAAACATACAAACATGGGCAGATTGGATCTTTTCGACATCCCCGCTTCTCTCCCCCGAGTATCGTATTTATTGCAAGGCACGCGCTTGACACGGACACGTATGAGCGCTGAAACATAACATTGACGCCCACACACGTGCAGCACCTTCTGAAGGATA